CATAACCAAACCGGAAGATCGAGCGTCCCCAGCGTCAAGTCCCCCTTCCCGTACCTATGTTCCCGAAAGCAGTCGATATCACCCAGCACCGATTCCAGAGAGCCCCGGCACGATACGAGAGGTTCGCTTGGCACACAACGGAAGGATGTGAAACCGAAGCCGGCAGGGTGGTATTGGCGGAGGAGTCACAGATCCCTCGTCCAGCGACCCACGGGATGCTTAGGCAGCCACCTATTAGCCGGAAGATCTTCAGAAGGCCGAGGTTCAGAAACTCGGACGCCAAAGGAGTTAAATCCCTATTGCACTTGGAGCTGGCCTCGGCTTGAGGACCCACGAGAAGGTTGGGGTTGAAGCCAATAGCAGCGGGGATACACGAAGAAATGCTGATCACCTCTAACCGGTAGATGGATATGATCACGTTGGATCCCAATTTACTTTCGTACGCATGGCTGAGGGACAGTGATGGCTCACCTAAGGCCCCCTTCCGGGGTTGACTTTCCTGACGCTGATCAGCGACTATTGAATGCCAACAACGAGGGTTACATCGTGGTGGCGTAGGCACGATCCTTGATTCGCACGATTTTGACACCCGGAGTACTATAATTTGGTCAGCTACAAGCCTGCCTCGGGAGATAATGAGAAGACAATCAATGGCCTCATTGTTGCCCTGCAGAGCGAGGAGTTTTGTATACGAAAAGCGGCTCCAGGAGGTGTAGTCGACGACACTGGCAGAATAGTCAGTAGGACGTTGTCTACAAATCTGATTCTCTCACCGTGACCTTCTCAAGGCCGCCTCTCGGTTTGTTGCGGGATTTTGTCTGCGTTATCGATGCGACTTTCAATACAAATAGGCTCAGGGTGCCGGTGGCCGTTGCGGTCGGTGTGCTGGACCCTGGCAAGACCTTTCCTGTGGCGCGTTCTCGTTCTGTCCAAGTGAGAGCCATGTTTCCTATTCCTTCTTTTGGGAGAGTCTCCAGCTCCACTTGCCAAGAGGATGTCGTTTCCGCCCCGCGCTTATCATCTCTGACCAGGCAAAGGCGATTCTTTCATCGATCACTAAGTCCTTTCCGTCTGTAGTTAGCACGCTGCCGAGGCGATGAAGGTTAGGGTTCCGCAAAATGGGCCACAAGACCGACCAGATCAATGGACATGACAATGCCAACCAAACGCTCACCAGTCTCACTTGGACTTATGTCGATGCGGGGACTCAAGAGGCACTTTCGGCTGGACGGAATGACCTGAGATCGCAACCATTAGAGCCTGAGTATCTCGATCAGTGGCGTGGCAAGGAGGATCGTGCGGTGGCCGTGAACACATCGGAACTACCAAATCTCGGCCATCGATCTAGCCAACGATCTGAGTCCTGTCATAACGCTTAAGGATCGCTCGCTTGCAAGTTCTCCGAGAGGCACCCAGGGCACGGCGTTCCGACACCTACCTCAGACGCGCCTGGAAACCGGGCGAGCCAATTCCTCGAACCCTCCTTTATCTGCGCTGGTGGCTAGATAGGTGTCAAATTACCTTCACGAACTGGATTCCTTCCTATCCTGATATTGAGAACGAACAGACGGAATTGATGGCGAATAGGCAGAGGATTGAAGAGATTCGAGAGACACTTGAGGAGACCGGAAGAGGGCGATTTGATAGGCCACGAGACCGCCTACAGGAACAGATGGAACAGCAGTTGATTCGCCAAAGCGAACGACGTCTCGATCCACAAAACCCGCTTATTGGCGCCGCTGACGCGGTCCTACGGAGTACGTGGAAATGGAGACGTGAACGCGGCAGATCAACAGGAAGGGTGTCAGGGAGGGCTCGCCAGCAAACTATCTGATAAGTATATTGCCTATCTATAGGCGCAGACGACAGCGATTCCGAAGCTGGAGAGCTTCAGAAGGTAGTCTGCGACTCGTACGCT